ACCTGATATAAAATATCACACCTGCAGAAGTCCGTCCACTATCAATTGAGGAGGGGCGAGCCCAGATGTGTCCAGCCATACCTGCTGGAACTTACGAAAAGCATTGCGATGTTGGTACCTGAGTTTCTCCCATGGGAGTAAAAGAATTAACATAATCTATCCATTGCTTACTAGTCAGAGGAGCCGATGATAACCAGTACCTTGCTATCAACTTTCTAGCGAGATATAAAAGTCTAGATACCATAATATACCCTCCTGGTTGGAACAGTTCTTGGTCCAGTGCATACTGGAACATTTTACATCTTTAAAGAGCTGGCTTTTATAAAATAGCTCTTAGCAGATTAAAAGCGGTGGCACCTAGAAGTGCCTGCTCATAATCTGCATCAGCTTTCAATCATCTCTGCTACAGCAAAAAGGCAAAGCTCCACCACTTCCCGCATTTCACATTAGTAAGCTGCCTTGTTGGCCAATAGGAAAAACTATTTAGAAGGCTCAACATTGACATGTAGAAAAAGGCGAATGCTTGCTGGGTGTTGCAGTTGTCACTTAAAAGCACACATTCACCGTTTACTAAAACTAGAAACCTATAAGTCACACACCCAGATGGCTCATCACTAGTTCAAAAAGTCTACACCAATAGTGAATGTGAATATTATATGGACAATTCCCACAAACCTATTGCAATCCTACCAATCCTTTGAGGTCCTGCTTTGCTGAAATTACACTACTGAGGACTGGAAGGACCCAACTACCGCCACTCTATTGAAGTGGTGTGACCTTGAAACCATCAGAAGTGATACTGGCACAAACAAAAATGCTACAGGCTACTGTATGGGGTTTGTTTATCACACAACTCACCCTGGCTGTCAGTACTGCTGGTTTGGGATTTAAGAGGACTCTTTTTGACCAGTAGACAAGGAGGCTTCCCGAAGATTCAGATAGGAGGATTGTTTTCAATATGTGCAGGAAACATATTAGCCTGTATGCTTAGGACTCTATGAAAGCTCAATGGATGCATTTGATTTTACCTATTGTAATAAATCTTATGGTCTGTGCAATTTTGTATTTGTGTGTTTTACCTACAACTAGAATCAGTCATTTCTAGATTTTAGACTACTTAACCTCCCTGGTGGTATTCCCAAGTGTAGCTCGGTGTAAGGTTTCAGTACCACAAGCGGTAACCCCGAGCTACACTCGGGCTTACCATGCGGCGCTGCTCCGCGATTCCTCGATCACTTACCTTGTCCTGCGCTCCCGCGATGTCCCTCCTGCAGTGTCCCCGGCAATGTAATCCGGCGGATGCCGGCATCTATCATCTGAGTTCTGTCCCCTGCGAGCGTCGGGACGTACGGGGGACGGAACGGCGGGAAATTTGAAAATGACAAAAAGTGACATTCACTAAAATCACATAGTAAAACATTACTGTATCAAACCATTTCACATACATTTTGTCCCTAGTGCTTTGTCCTGTGCCCTGCCTGCATTTTTACTGTTCTTATTGCCTGGAAACTGAGAAACGTCCATGGCGTCCAAAAAGCGTCCCTTTAGGTCAAAAGCGATTTTAAACCAGCTAGAGAACAGCGATAGTAAATCAAAGCCACTTGCAGAATTGAGTGATAATAGTTTGTGGGGAAATTCGTCATCAGACACTGAAAACGATTTTGCGACTTTGCTCAGTGATGTGCGAACTTTGAGCTATATTTCAAATTTCAGTGTTTTTGGTTTGATTATATTATTGAATTAAATTTATTATATTATTATTTTTTATGATTATTTATTAAATTATAATTTATGATTTCGTGTTTCAAGTTTTATCATACCCAGGATGTTTACTAGACTCTTGTTCGGACAGATTTCAGTAAGTTATTCCTAAAAATGACAGGCCTACAATAAAAAAAAAAAACATATTTCCATGCAAAAAAATGTACCGCTTTGAGCACAGAAATATGGACATAATCAGACCGCTAGGGAGGTTAATGGACAACTGTGTCTTTGGTACAACTGTCTGTCTTTAATAATTCCCCCCCCCCCCCCACCCCTAAGTACAGCCCACCTGCTTTAATACTCACCTTTCTCCTCTATACAGCAATCTTCTTTATGTGGTTCTACGTGATACTGTACAGCTTTTCCAGCAATAACATCCCTATTGGATCTAATTCTCAGTTTGCATGCACAACAGCGTTCCATTAATGTCTATGGATAAGCCGTACCTAGATCTAAGAAGATTTTTGCAGGCTAGGCTGTGTAGTGTGAGGCAGAGCTGCACAGCAAAGATTTCTGGATTGAGAAGAAGGTAAATATTTGAGCTGATGGGCTCCACTCAGAAGATGAGAAGAATCGATTAAAGGACAGATGTACCAAAGGTATAGCTGCCTTTAAAACATGATTGAAAAAATCTAACTAAACCAATACATGTAGTTTCTTTAGAGCATATTTAAAGTGAATCTAACCTGTCCTAAAACGTTTCTAAGATAAGGTGCCTGCATGTATCAGCTTTAGCCTTCAAAATCGATTCCTGTGTTCTGTGGAGCCCCCATAGATCCTAGGCTCCAACTGTATATGTTGGACCTCATCATCTGCCGAGGTTGAGATAAAGTGCTGCCTCCTCCCAACAGCAAGTCCTCTGCCCTGTCATTCATCTGTCAGATCTTTCAAGGTCTAATGCCATTTAATACAAATTCCTTCAGCTTTAAATTACTGCAGCTGTAACCTGCCACTAGATATTCAAAACAAAGCTTGCTGAGCAAAAATTTTGATTTTTTTTTTTTTTTGGATGTATGTAGCATTGGTCTCATACAATGAAAATGGAAACTTTTAGTGTCATGATGGCTAAAGCTTTCTTAGTCAAAGCCAGTACTTTCAAGAAAACATATTCAGAAGCTGTTTTCTACAAAAACAATGACGTGGTATATTGTGAACAGAAATTTTCTTGATGTTGATGCTTTTACCTTGTAATTTCTAGCTCCATTAAATTGATTTCCTTCTCCGTTCACTACTTCAGTTCCATGCAAAAACTGCCTATTGAAATCCTTGAAAGGTAGCTTAATAGAAAAGAATGCCATAGCCTATATGGTCGGGGTCTGTCTTTTACAGCAGTTACTGACACATTATAGAAAGATGCAGACAAAAAGAATATATACTTGTAAAGACATTGGGCCATTATTTTTCTGCTAGGTACAGTTTGCAGAAGAATGAGGTTCCAGATAAGTATCAACAGTTCTTTCTTGTGCTTAACCACTTGCCCTCTAGAGGATTTCCCCTCCTTCCTGACCAGGCCATTTTTTTTCTGATACGGCACTGCTTTACTTTAACTGTAAATTGCGCAGTCATGCAACACTGCACCCTAATGAAATTTACGGCCTTTTTTCCCACAAATAGAGCTTTCTTTCTGTGGTATTTGATTGCCTGTGCTGGGTTTTTTTTTTTTTTTTGCGCTATAAACAAAAAAAGACCGACAATTTTGAGAAAAAAACAATATGGTTGACTTTTTGCTATTAAACATGTCCAGTAAAAAAAAATGTAAAAATAAAATTTCGTCACAAATTTAGGCTAAAATGTATTCTGCTACATGTCTTTGCTAAAAAAAAATCCAAATATGTGTAATTTAATTGGTTTACGTGAAAGTTATAGCGTTTACAAACGGTGTTATAGATACTGGTATTTTTTTTGTTCACTAGTTATGGCGGCGATCAGCGACTTATAGAGGGACTGCAGGACTGCGGCGGGCATTCTGACACTGGGGGGGCAACTGACTTAGTGTCACTGACATCCCCAGTGACACCAATACAGTGATCAGTGCTAATAAAAAACACTGACACTGTACTAATGGCACTTGGCAGGAAGGGGTTAACATCTGGGACGATAAAAGGGTTAACTGTGTACTGTTTCAAAATGTTGGCTCTGTGTGTGCTTCACTATAAGTACACTGCTTTGTATGGCTCTGCTATGCTATTTACTCAGGTCACTGTGTAGCAAATAGTAGTTAGTAGCAATACGTCAAGCAAAAAAGAAATGGAGAAAGAACACAAGGAATAATATAGTCAATACATATGTGGCTGAAGTGTCAGAAAAACTATGAAGGAATGTCTTTCATGCACAGCACCCTGGGGTGCCTTGGCAAAATATCTAAAAATTGCCCAAAACCCGTATACAAGCCAGTGCGTGGAACAATCCTGCCTTTTAGTTACACAAAGCCCCAGGTTTTCATTGCGCACCATTATGACAATCTAGCCCACAGCATCCTCACAACCAATGACATCATCAGTTGATAAGGAGGATGTCAGTGCCTGCACAGCATCCTAGTTTGACCCTCCCCTGCCCCTCTCCATCAGTGATGGGTTCACATTAGCTCAGTGATGGAGAAAAACTGAGGGAGAAGAGAAACACTGGAATACTAGTCAGTACCAGTGTGCAAAAGTGTATTTGCTTTGGAAGAATAAATCACCTCTAATGTTGGGTGTCCTACATGTGTGGATGTTGCTGTGTTATATAAAACTATTAGAATTGTTTTTTTACATATTAGAATAGGGTGCCTCACGACTGACCAAAATATTAAAGGGTGCCTCAGGATTGACCATAATTTTAGAGGGCGCCTTGAAATTGTCCATCATTTTAAAGGGTGCCTTGACTGAAAAAAAGGTTGAGAAACACTGATCCAAATGAATACACAAACACAAGCAAAGACAAAACAACATCTCAACAAAGGAGGGCCCAACATAGCAGGAAAGGATCTAAAGGCCATGAGTCTTTTCTGCAAGTTAACCAGTTGCCCTGTGGAGGATTTATCCCCCTTCATGACCTGGCTATATTTTGCTATTAGGCGCTGTGCTATTTTAACCGCCTCCCGCCCGGCATATAGTAATATGACAGACGCAAGGTGGTTCTCTTGTTATATGATGTCCTCCCATTCTAACCGCGCATGCGTAGTTCCCGGAGCGCACAGCGCGGCGATCGGCGGTGCGCTGTGTCCCTCGGACACAGCGGATCACCGATCCACGGAAAGAGCCGAAGATGTCGGCTCGGTCACGTGATCAGCTGTGTCCAATCACAGCTGATCACATGTAAACAGAGAATTGCCGGTTATCGGAATTTCTCTCCCCCACGAGCTGTCATGCTGACAGCTTGTGAGGAGAGCCGGTAATCGGCATTCCTCGGAGGGGACATGTACACAGATCATCAGAGCACTGATACTCAGTGTGCCCTGATGATCTGTGTAGCCCCAGCAGCGCCACCTGTCAGTGTCCATCAGTGCCAGCTCTCAGTGCTCATCCATGCCACCTGCCAGTGCCCATCAGTGCCACATCAGCACCACATTTAAGTGCCCATCAGTGCCACATCAATGCCACATATCAGTGCCCATCTGAGCTGCCTTTCAGTGTCACCTATCAGTGCCAGTCAGTGCCACCTATCAATGCCAGTCAGTGACACCTATCAGTGCTGCCAATCAGTGCCACCTAACAGTGCCAGTCAGTGCCACCTAACAGTGCCAGTCAGTGCCACCTATCAGTGCCAGTCAGTGCCGTCTATCAGTGCCACCTATCAGTGCAGCCAATCAGTGCCATATATGAGTCCTGCCTTTCAGTGCCCATCAGTGATGCCTGTCAATGCCCATCAGTGCCACCTACCAGTGCCTCCTCATCAGTGCCCATTAGTGCCACCTGTCAGTGTCCATCAGTGCTTCCTATCAGTGCCCATCAGTGCAGCCTCATTAGCGCACATCAGTGAAGGAGAAAAATCACTTATTTACAAAATTTTATAACAAAAACTAAGAAAAAAACTTTTTTTTTTTTTTTTGCAAAATTTTCAGTGGTTTTTGGTTTAAGAAAAAATAAAAAACCCAGAGGTGATTAAATACCACCAAAATAAAGCTCTATGCAAAAAATTTCATATGGGTACAGTGTTGCATGACTGCGCAATTGTAATTCAAAGCGCTGAAAGCTGGAAATTGGCCTGGGCAGGAGGCAGGTATAAGTGCCCTTTAGGCTTGGCAATTGCATGGTCATGCAATACTGTACACAAATAAAATTTTTATTATTTTTTTCACATCAAATAGAGCTTTGTTTTGGTGGTATTTTATCATTGCTTTTTTTTATGCTATAAACAAAAAAAAGACCGAATTTAAAAAAAAAAATAAACAACAATATTAGACAATGATCAGTATAAATAATCTGTACACTGTACTAATGACACAAACAGAGCAGTGAAATGGTTAACTGGGGGGGGGGGGGCAATCAGGGTGTTAAAATGCACCCAACTATGTGTTTTAGTGCCAGTGTGCTGCTTGTGCTCACATAGATCTGCTCTCTTCTCACTCTGGGACTGAAAATGGCTCCAGGAGAGAAGATTGCATAATTTCCTGTGTTCTGTAAACACGGGCATGGGATGATCTGATTCGGTACAACCGATCAACAGGTCCAGGCCAAAAATCATTGGCCTGGATCTGCGCTCTCCGACCGCCCGGGAACACACAGAGGGCATGGAGCACGTGTGTGTGTGTGTGTGTGTGTATGTGTATATATATATATATATATATATATATATATGTGTGTGTGTGTGTGTGTGTGTGTGTGTGTGTGTGTGTGTGTGTATATATATATATATATATATATATATATATATATATATATATATATATATATATATGTGTGTGTGTATGTTTCTGCCCAGGTCGGCTGCTCTTTAGCAGTATACAGTGGGGCAAAAAAGTATTTAGTCAGCCACCAATTGTGCGAGTGCTCCCACTTAAAAAGATGAGAGAGGCCTGTAATTGGCATCATAGGTAGACCTCAACTATGAGAGACAAAATTAGAAAAAAAATCCAGACAATCACATTGGCTGATTTGGAAAGAATTTATTTGCAAATTATGGTGGAAAATAAGTATTTGGTCAATATCAAAAGTTCATCTCAATACTTTGCAGGAGGTCCACAACTACTTTGAATTCAGGACAAACCTCTAACCTGCAGACCCCAAATGCAGGTCATACATGATCTTGAGGTAGTGCTGACAGTCCACGTTAATTTCCAACATTTCCATCACGGTCCATAATTAAGGGTAATACTGGATAATACTTATACAGCAGGTAAGATTATGCCACAATACAAACAAGACCAGTTGAGTGTGGCTTAACTACTACTGGTATAAAAAAAATCCTAAGCACACCAATGTTATATTAGTACTTTTGTTGCCATGGTGATGCCATTTCCCATAATTCCATGCTAGTGTAGAAATGCGGGATCTACTATAGCATGGAAAACTAAGCCCTAGAAGCCCTGAACCAATGATAGCATATTAACAAGCTCTAGCTAGAGCTCAGGCAGTATGGTGCCTCATCACTAACAAGCTTCTATTATATTCCTTGCAGTACAGAGCAATATTGCTGCCACTAGGTTTTTCAGCTTGGCTGTTCTAGAGGTAAAGCCTTTAAGTAAAGACAGGATCAAGGAAAAGAAGGTGCAAGAATCCACTTTGTCACATACAGGCTTAGGGAAGGCAGGGCTATCCTACTGGTACAAAGTTATACCTACAGGTAGTCCTTCTGGACTCACTTCTGGGACAAGGGGGCTCCCTCCTAGGATAATGTAGGGGGTTGTTAAAGTGTAAACAATGGAAACTTATTTTAACATTATTCAGTCAAAATAGTAAATGTTAGTGGAAAAAAAAACTATTTTCTGCTGCACAGTAATAGCTTGAAGCTAGACAGCTGTACACAGATTTGTCACTTGGGGAACCCAAACATTAGCTCTCTGAACTGTGCCACGATCGCTTAACCCAGACTACATAGCCCTCTGGGTGGCAAATGCAATAAAACAATCACATAAAAATGTTTACCATGATGTGATGCTGGGATTGGGTAGAATAAACTGGAGAAAGAGAGGGAAAATAGGGAGAGATGGATGTATGGGTGTCCTGTGTCTTGCCTGTGGTCTGCTTCCACTGCAGCTTATGGTTGTAATATCATATGGGATATTAGGGCAGTCATGCCCAAAGAAGACTCAGTTGATGGTGCAGACCACCACAGACTCATCTTTTGGCCGGCAGGAGAAAAAGGCTTACAGGACCAAGGAGCACTGCACCACCTGAGCTGCCATGGTGAGTGTGCCAACAGCTCCCATGTATAGGTGCAGGGGCGTATTTACCACAAGGCAAACAAGGCACTTGCCTAGGGCAGCAGTTTTCAGGGGGGCAGCACTGCCACCCAGAAGAAAGGATGAAAGAAGGGACATGTTTGCCTTGGGAACCAGGTGGGATCCAAGAGAGGCTGCTGGCTGCTTGATGGTGTATGTAAAGCCTGACTGTCAGGAATGGACTGGCCAGCAATATTGGGACTCACCTGCCTTATGAGCTGCAGTACCAGGGCTGGCCAGCGGGTGCTCCCAGCAATAAGAGACTCAACCTTGCAGCCAGTCAAACACCTGGAACTAATTATACTGGTGTATTTAAGGGACATTCAGACCTGCAGACTCGGCCTTGGTGTTGTGTTTCTCCTGGGCCGTTTCCTGTACCTGTTCCTGTCTGATTCTCTGCTGACCCTGCTCTGATCCATGGTTTGTCTGACCATTCTCCTGCTCCTGATCCCTGGCTTGTCTGACCATTCTCCTCTGCCTGACAATCTGTACCACGCTGCCCGCTACCTGCTGAACCTGGCTTGTGACCCCGACCATTCTCCGCTTGCTCCCCCTGTACATACCTGCCCGATTGATATTGACCCGGCCTGCCTGACGACGCTTGCATTGTATGTACTGTTATCTGTGGGTGGTTTGGTTTGGTTTGTTTGCACTGTGTTATGTTTTAGTATTGCACTGCGTTTATGTTTGTATTGTTAGTGTTAATAAATTACATTGTTTTTATAACATATCTGAAGTCTGCGTTTCCCTGCGTCAGTCACACACCTCTGGTCACACCCGGGAGCCCTGACATTACACCAAGGCCAATCCTGACCAGAAGTGGCTGCACAGGGAAGCCATCTTGATTTGTTGATGGGAAGGATGGATCTGGATGAGGTTGCGTATTTATATCTGCTAGTGTTTGATGACAGGGAGTATGCTTATCAAACTCTAAAGGAGTATACCCGGGATGAACTGCTAGAATGTATACGGCTCGCTCATGTTCTAGTAGATCAGGGCACAGAGTTCTCTGAGGTGCAGCCATTGATTGAGGTTTGTGCTGAGTTGGTTTCATCTGGTACCCCCGAATGCAGGGATGAATTTTTGCCGCCATTTAGTGCAGACCAGGTAGAGTCCCTGGTATGGTTATTGGAGGATGATGTGGGTTACTTTCTGGAGCGTTATTCCACATGTTCACCACAGATACTAAGAGATTGTATAAACGCAGTGCAGTCTTTGGTCAGACAGGCTTTGTGTAAGCTCAGCTTTGTTCAACCCATACTGCAGACATGGACAGATATGTTGCACCCAGCTTCAGTCAGCTTGCAAAAACCCAGTCCTGCTTCTAATCTATTTCCTCAAAGCTCTATTCCCGCATTCCCAACAGCTCCTCCTGCCCTGCTATCTACCGCATGTCAGTACCTGTTCCCACTCGCTGCACCTATCCTGCCTTTAACCCTGTAAAAAAGCCCTCTGTAGCAACTGCTCCCTCTCCTGTTCCATCCTCCAGCTCTTCTCTGTCTCCAGCTGCTCCGATTCGTTGCAGACCTGCGTTTACAGATGCAGTGCCCAGTAGTTAAAACCAGAAAAAAGCGAAAATTCTTTCCAACCAATACCATCCTGCCAGTATCCAAACTCGGTGAACCTGCCTTCCGTGGTTCAGCCTGAATCCTCTACTCAGCCTGAATCCTCTACTCTTGCCTGATGCCTCTACTCGGCCTGATGCCTCTACTCGGCCTGATGCCTCTACTCGGCCTGATGCCTCTACTCGGCCTGATCTTGCCTCTACTCGGTGCCTGAAGCCTCTACTCGGCCTGAAGCCTCTACTCGGCCAGTTGACGCCTGCATTCAGACCTGATGCCTCTACCCAGCATGATGAAACTGATCCAGCCTGACGTTCCTATTAGGCCAGTTGACTCGATGCCCGCTGTTGATCCAGATGATCGGTGCAGTACCTAATCCGGTGCCCGCTGTCGTGCCAATTGACTCAGAGCCCGCTGTCGTACCTGGTGACTCGGTGCCCACTGCCTTGCCAGATGACGCGGTGCCCGCTGGCGAGCCAAATGACCTGATGCCTGCAGTGACCCAGTGCCCGCTGTCATACCTGGTGACCCGATGCCCGCTGTCGAGCCAGACAATCCCCCTGATGACCGGTGCCCGCTGTCGTGCCAATTGAGTCAGAGCCCACTGTCGTGCCTGGTGATTCGGTGCCCGCAGTCTTGCCAGACGACTCGGTGCCCGCGGTCTTGCCAGACGACTCGGTGCCCGCGTCTTGCCAGACGACTCGGTGCCCGCAGTCTTGCCAGACGACTCGGTGCCCACGGTCTTGCCAGACGACTCGGTGCCCGCCGCTCCGCCTGGGGGCCCGAGACCTGTCGCTCCGCCTGGGGGCCCGAGACCTGTCGCTCCGCCTGGGGGCCCGAGACCTGTCGCTCCGCCTGGGGGCCCGAGACCTGTCGCTCCGCCTGGGGGCCCGAGACCTGTCGCTCCGCCTGGGGGCCTGGTGCCTGCTGCTTCACCTGGTAATCTCCCGATGTGCCTCTGCCCGGAGTCCAGCCCGATGTGCCTCTGCCCGGAGTCCAGCCCGATGTGCCTCTGCCCGGAATCCAGCCCGATGTGCCTCTGCCCGGAGTCCAGCCCGATGTGCCTCTGCCCGGAGTCCAGCCCGATGTGCCTCTGCCCGGAGTGCCGCTGCCCGATGTGCCTCTGCCCGGAGTCCAGCCCGATGTGCCTCTGCCCGGTGTGCCCCTGCCCGGTGTGCCGCTGCCCGGAGTCCTGCCCGGTGTGCCAGTCTTTGATATCCCAGTTTACCAGACCCGGGCGGTGGAACATCTTGCCCAGCTAGGACTGTTTGGAGCGTCCTGAGGCCGCTCCTTGAGGGGGGGGTACTGTCAGGAATGGACTGGCCAGCAATATTGGGACTCACCTGCCTTATGAGCTGCAGTACCAGGGCTGGCCAGCGGGTGCTCCCAGCAATCAGAGACTCAACCTTGCAGCCAGTCAAACACCTGGAACTAATTATACTGGTGTATTTAAGGGACATTCAGACCTGCAGACTCGGCCTTGGTGTTGTGTTTCTCCTGGGCCCTGTTTCCTGTTCCTGTTCGATTCTCTGCTGACCCTGCTCTGATCCCTGGCTTGTCTGACCATTCTCCTGCTCCTGATCCCTGGCTTGTCTGACCATTCTCCTCTGCCTGACCCTTTGTACCACGCTGCCCGCTACCTGCTGAACCCTGGCTTGTGACCCCGACCATTCTCCGCTTGCTCCCCCTGTACCTACCTGCCCGATTGATATTGACCCGGCCTGCCTGACGACGCTTGCATTGTATGTACTGTTATCTGTGGGTGGTTTGGTTTGGTTTGTTTGCACTGTGTTATGTTTTAGTATTGCACTGCGTTTATGTTTGTATTGTTAGTGTTAATAAATTACATTGTTTATAACATATCTGAAGTCTGCGTTTCCCTGCGTCAGTCACACACCTCTGGTCACACCCGGGAGCCCTGACACTGACTCTCGTTCCTGAGGATGTCCGGAGCGGTGAAGATGAGTGTCTTTTTTGCTATTGCCAAGGGGGGGGGGGGGGGGTAGTAGAAGGCTCTCCCGGGTGGGGGGACAGGGGCATGGTCAATGTCAGCATTGTCAGGTTCTCTCTGCGGAAGGGGGAAGAGGGGATGATGTTGGTCGGTGTCCGTGGAGGAAGACTATTTTTGTGTTGCCTGAGGCAGCACAAAACCGAAATACACTACTGCATAGATGCCTACTACCTGCTGCCAGCATAATCAGCACTCAACAGTTTGTGTGCTGTGAAGAATTTATTGGTGAAGTATAGATGGAATGTATAGATCGAGAAAAAAATGGGGGACGGGTCAATGAAATTCCTATGAATGCCTTATTAAAGCAGATTACCAGCCCCTGAAAATCAATTAAAAGTCAGCAGCTACAAATAATGCAGCCGCTGACTTTTTAAAATTAGGACATTTACTTGTCCAGGCATCCAGCTGTGTCACCCCAAGCCGATTCTTAAGTTGGTTATCGGGTGCTAGTGCTGCCATCTTGACTAAGGGAAACCAGTAGTGAAGCCTTGCAGCTTCACAGCTGGCTTCCTACTGTGCCTGCAAAAGCATGTTGAGCTTTGTGAATTTTTTTTTTTAAAGCGATAGCTGTCTCCAACAATGATGCAACCAGATTATGATGGCAGATATTTAAAAAAAAAAAAAGGTAAAACAATTAATTAAAAGAATACACTGAATATATTATATCATAATTAACTGCAAGATGCAAGATCCAAAATGTGTTTGTTGTGGGGTGTTTCAGGTCCATCTTTTACAGCCACTTCATTTTGGTTTTTGTTTAGCTTGCTAGCAAAGCACAAAGTTTTTTTATTTTGCATTTTTCTTTATTTTGGATTAGCTGCCAAACAGCAAACCTCATGAAATCTTGCAGTTAATTATGATATAATATACTCATTGGATTATTTTAATTTACCATAATTAGACTAGAAGGTTTGTTCATGGATAGAAAACTGGTTACAAGGACATGTCCAACGGGTGGGGATAAATAGCGAGTATTCAGACTGGTCTGAAGTGGTACATGGGGTACCACAAGGGGCTCTGTCTTGGGACCAATTCTGTTTACTTTTTTCATAAAATATAATAGAGGTTGGTATAAATAGCTCAATCTCAATGTTTGTTGATGACACAAAGCTAAGTAGAGCAATAATTGCACAGTAGGTTATAGAAACCTCAATAAAATACTGGGGTGGGTAACTACATGGCAAATTAGGTTTAATGTTGAAAAATGTAAAGTAATGCACTTGGGAGCTAAAAATGTGAACGCAAATTACTCGCTACGGAGAGAACCACCAGGGGTCTTAGTAGATCACAGGCTCAACAATGGCATACAATGCCAAGCTGCAGCAAGCAAAGCCAGCAGGATATTTAGCTTGCATTCAAAAAGGAACTTATTTCAGAGATAAAACTATAACCCTGCCAATTTACAAAACTCTGGTTTGGCCACATCTCTAATATGCCATCCAGTTCTGGTCACCAGTCCTCAGGAAGGAGCTACAGGACTTGGAGAGAGTCCAGTGAAGGACAACAAAGTTAACTAGAAAAGTGACAATTTCTGGGGAAATTGTGTGAAGTGTTCTTGCCTCCACCTGTAGTCTACAACTGGAGTGGGCGGAGTAACTGGGTGGAGTGGCTTGAGTAACTGTTGTGTGGTTGGAGTGGCTGGAGTAACTGTGAAAAGGTCAATGGGCGGCGTGAGTTGCAAACAAATGGTCAGATTGTGAAAACTATCAGGGCTATGGCTTAGCCGTGGACATTTTTTGTGGCAGCAGGGATAGCTGAACGTTTTGATATAAGATTTGTGTAGGTGGGCTTGAAAATGAGGAAGTGATGGCAGTTTAGAAATCATGTCCTGATTTTTCAGCGTACACTCTAGCTTTTGTCAGCTCACACTCTAGTTTTTGAAAATTCCGCCATTCATTCCTATGGGACCAATTTCACCACAAAAACGCCGATATTTCGTGAACCATTCAGTGAACCGTTCCACAAAGTAATAGCACACCAATCGGGAACAATCTGCACGTTTCCGTATATTGCTGTCTATGTAGTGTAAAAACTGTGGGAGGAGTTAGGGTGGTAAATTTGGCTATAATAATAAGAATATATATGTGAGATAACAGTAAGTGGTCTTGCCATGCAAGAACACTTAATAAGGGGACTGGAGGACCTCAGTTACAAGGAATGACTACAAATATTAAACTTATTCTCCCTAGAGAAAAGGCCCTTGAGAGGAGATATGGTAGTGATATACAAATACCTCAATCCTAGCACAGGGAATAAATTATTTAGTCTCAAGGAGTGTAAGAAGACACGTGGCCACTCAAAGAAATTGGAGGAGAAGCGGTTGAACCTTAAACTGCGTAGGGGGCTTTTCCCTGTCAGAGCAGTAAGGATGTGGAACTCACTTCCACAATTGGTGGTGTCAGCAAGAAGCATTGATAGTTGTAAAAAACTCATGGACGGATATCTTGATGAACACAGTATACAGGGATACCAGCAATGATATTAACATGAACACACACACAGGTTGAATTGGATGGACTGGTGGCTTTATTCAACCTCACCAACTATGTAATCTATTTGTTTGCATTTAAACATCTGCCATCATAATCTGGTTTCATCATTGTCAGAAGACAGCTATGTTTAAAGAGATAGCGGTCTCCTGACAATGATGCAACCAGATTATGATTGCAGATGTTTAAATACAAAAAAACAGATTACATAGTAAAACAAAAATGTCAGCATTGTTTCCATGTGTTTCTTGCACAATAAATTGTACGTTTTACAAGCTGCTGATGATATATAAATAGAATTGTCTTGCTCCACTCCATCATCTCTGATTAAGCCCCAATGGGCGAGGCGAAATGCATCAGGGACGGGGCTCAGGAGGAGCTCATGGCTAAAGATGTTCACATTTCCTTTCACCTGTTGAGCTAGTTGTGTGCAGCATCTCTCATCTCCTCATACTTCACTGCTTTCTGGATTAAGCAAAAGACAGCCTGCACCTTTATATTGCTGTGAGACACCGGATTCACCAGAGTACCTTAAGCAGCACAATAAGTGGTCGAACGGTAAATAACATGCAAAAACAAGAAAGAATACTATGAATATTTATTGAAATAAATTAAATCAACCAAAATAAACTATATCCTTATAATAAAAGAGTGCAAAGGGTGTAAACACAGAAAGCACTGCTTATGAAGGGTTCCGGGGGGGTCCAGTCACTGGTTTGGGGTGGTACAGAGCATGCAAAGCAACACGTGAATGCTTTCTTAAAAGTACATCTTTGTAAATTTTCCCTAAGCAGTGCTGCATGGTGAAATGAGAAATCAGAGAAATCAATTTATCAAATATCTCTTGATTCATCTCTACTCTTTAATTTGCCTGTGATGCTTCTCACACATTTGTGCTTACCATATACAGTGCCTTGAAAAGTAACCATTCCCCTTGAAATTTTCCACATTTTGTCATGTTACAACCAAAAACGTGATTGTATTTTATTGGGATTTTATGTGATAAACCATCACTAAGTGGCACATAATTGTGAAGTGGAAAGAACATGATAAATGGTTTTCAACATTTTTTTATTTAGATTATCTTTTTCACCCAAATTTGAATCTGTTTGGACTGAGCACTTCATCTTTGGAATAGTTTTATTGGACTTAAATTTTTTTACAAGGCATTTTTCTGGACTTTGTTATATGAATAAGGGAGGTGCAGGACCTGGAGAGAGTTCAGAGATGTGCAACAAAATGAATAAGGAGATTAGGGCCGCTTTTCATGTGCATATACAGTCAGGTCCATAAATATTAGGACATCGACACAATTCTAAAATTTTTGGCTCTATACACCGCCACAATGGATTTGAAATGAAATTAGCAAGATGTGCTTTAACTGCAGACTGTCAGCTTTAATTTGAGGGTATTTACATCCAAGTCAGGTGAACGGTGTTAGAATTACAACAATTTGCATATGTGCCTCCCACTTGTTAAGGGACCAAAAGTAATGGGACAGAATAATAATAATAAATCAAACTTTCACTTTTTAATACTTGGTTGCAAATC